AGTGAACAGTTTAGTTATAAGAGTCATTTGTTTTGATTTATTAATACAATGTAGTAATGGCTGTGAATTATCAGTGCAGTTGAATCAATTAACTTAGTGTAAAAAGCCTTATCAAGCAACTATAATTACATACAATGAGCTTGTAACTGATTCCTGGCTCCTCACTATTTACGATAATCTCTACATTGAAATAAGAGTATTGTTTCTTTCCGTGTTGCAAAAAGATGTCTTTTCCCATTTCTGCTAAAGATATATTCACCATTTTGTCCACTAATTGTCTATTACATCAACTTGTGTATACAAAAGATGAAAGACACAACAATAATTCTGAAAGAGACAAAACAGACACTACTGTGTCAACATTTGTTTGACCTCAGTATTCATATATTTATTTATGCAGTATGCGTGACTAGCAGTTACAACCTTTATCGTATGTATATCTTGCTGTGTGTCATATAAAATATGTATCTGCATAAATAAAAACATGAATACAAAATTCAAACAAATGCTGACATACTAGTCTCTATTTTGTCTCTTTCAGAATTATTATTGTGTACTATCCCATTATACATCTTTCGTATGATGCACAATATGATGCATACCACAAAGGTTGTGTATAAATACTAAATGTGGTTTCCCACCTATTATATTTATATCAAAACAATCAATTACTATAACCCTTGTGTATAAGGGGTGGGCCACAGAATCCAGCCCTCCCACTGGGACCTTCAATGATCTACTGTGCTTTATTACAACCCTTGCTCGGGTTAGAGCAAGAACGTCATAAATGTACAGCTTTAGAATATCATCCTTCATAATTGCCATAGTCTGTTTCCTTGGCATAATTCACATAGTACTTTTTCTTCTGATTCCTTGTAACAAGGGTCTCCAAACTACGGCCCGCAATGTGATTTTATCCGGCCCGCGAAAGAATTGTGCAGAAATGCGCCAATTGAACTAATTTTCCAATGAGTACTGGTAAATGTGATTCCAAGCTTACTGACCTGACATATTATACTGCAGTTCGATGGCTTAGCTGTGGAAAGGTTCTTTCACGCTTCTTTCAGCTCAGGAATGAAACTGATATATTTCTTACCGAGAAAAACCATCACGAACCACTTTTATCAGATACCAAGTGGCTTTGGAAATTAGCATTTTTTGCTGATCTGCTGAACCATATGAACCACTTGAATTTAAAGTTGCAGGGTGAAAATAACTTAAGTCTGTTATTTGCACTTCTCAAGGCATTCAGAGCAAAGTTGATACTTCTGGAAAGGCAAGTGAAAAATTGTAACTTTGTTCATATTCTATACTGTGCAGAGTTGCATAAAAAGAATGAAGCAGAATTTCCTTCCTCGTTTGCAAATTTAGTCATTTTAGATTTGAAAGAACAATTTCGGAAGTGATCTGATGATTTGGATTCCAGTGCTCAGGAAATTAGATTGTTTCAAAATCCGTTTGACTGTGATGCTGCAGATGTCAATTCGAATGGAAATTATTGAACTTCAGGAAAATTATCATATTAAAGACAATTACAAGGAGGAAATTTGATCGAATTTTATAAATTTCTTAACTCCGAGCATTTTCCAAATTTAAAGACATTTGCTTGTAAATTTATCTCCATTTTTGGGGCGACGTATCTTTGTGAAAAAACTTTTTTCCCAGATGAAGTACAACAAGTCGAAATACAGGGCAAATTTATCCGATGAACGTTTAAAGTCGCTACTTGTGATTAGCGTTTAAAAATTTGAACCTCAATTTAATCAGATTTTAAGAACTGAAAAAGAGTTCCATCATTCACATTAATTGTTTTATTATAATTTGTGATGAAAATATGAGCATTTGCTGCTGTCTGTTGTCATTAATATACGATAATTTATTCTCACGCACTTTGTATTTAGTTTATGAAATTCTGTGCTTTCAATAAAACTCATATACCTAGCGTTATTAATTTCTCATTTTATCCGGCCCGTTGAGAGTGCTGAATACCTAATGTGGCCCGCGGTTCGAAAAGTTTGGAGACCCCTGCCTTGGAACATAACATTTCACGGCTGAACGTTTGGATTCTAAAAATGGCCACATTCATTTTACAATCCATATTCTGTAGGCTCAATATAAATGGGCACACGTAGATACCCTCCCATTTCCAAAATTACTTGAACGTCGAATTTCTTTTACAATATGAATGTTAAATATGACGGCCCTAACCTCAATCTCACTCTCAAAATACTGCAAATATACATAAATAATACTGTACTATAAACATATTAATTACTGATTTACTCTACCTACAGATTTCGTTCCGTACAATATGGCATATTCTTAAATACCAAATCATCTGCTCCTTTTATATTATGACATGGCAATATTCACTATGATGTTGAGCTACAAGCCAGCTCAACCTACGCTAGCAAGAACTCGTAGGTTTCTTATACAAATCCTTCGTACTACACACGTTTCAGTTACTACCTCAAGGCTATGAACTTCAACAGAAAAGAAAACAATCGCTTAAAAACAATATCATCGCAGCTTTCTTACGCCACACATACCTACAGCCGATATTATACAAACCATACAGACCTACACCGTGCGACAACGCTGGTCACGGCACGTTCGCAGATGATTAGGGCATTAGGGGCATTAGGGGGGTTAGCGGGATACAACTCAATCCTATTGGCGGGCAACATAACCACCGTGACGTCATGAAGCATTACTGCTGTCTCGGTGCCCGGAGGCAGATCTTTTGAAATGAAAAATGCCTGTAGCCAGTGCCGAAGGCTCGGTCGGTAAGAAGGTATTCTATCATACCACCTGCCCTGTCGGTAAGAAAGTATGCTATTATATCACCAGCACTTTTTACTGCTCCCTCCCGAAAAATCACTGGTTCACACGTACCGCTAGTCTTAATAATCGATGTAAATGAAATGCTCATATTTTACAGGCACTGATGGGAAACTTTCTCCAGATAAATAATGTTGCAACCTGATATCTTGTACTGCAGAGGTTCTTACTCCCTTGTCTGTTTTCTGTTTTTGAACTGAGTTAATATCATTTCACTCAAAACCATGTGGAGGGAATGAGTTAAATAATATTAAACTCAGTTCGAAAACAGAAAACACACAACAGAGTAAGAACCTCTGCAGTACAAGATATCAGGTTGCAAAATTATTTATCGGGAGAAAGTTTCTCACCAGTGCCTATAAAATAAGAACAATTCATTTACATCAATTCAACACTCCCTTACTGAAATTCAATTGATATTTGAACTGTAACATATATAGAATACTTGTGTTTAGGAAAGCTGATGGTGGGTAAACTTGAAAGAAAATTCTGTTTCCATCAGAGATACTTGTATTCAACTTCATAACTTTGCTTACAACTTATACCTGAAAGCTGCACAGAACATAGCTTTTCAGTTACATTAATGTGATATATATCATGTATAGGAAGTATTAATACTGAGGTTTCCATTTGTTATTAATTTCAGTAGTATAATGAAACTCGAGAATCTGATACACTCTCTTGTTAACAAGATTAAGATTGCATTTAATAATATACGAAAAGCAATAAAATAATTGCAGAACTGTTACAAACTTTTTTTTATTTGTTTCATTCTGGTCCTACAAAACTATAATTTTGCCTGTGGTTCTTTATGGGTGTGAAACTTGGTCTCTGACATTAAGGGAGGAACATAGACTGAGGGTTCTTGAGAACAAGGTGTTGAGGAGAATATTTGGACCAAAGAGGGATGAAGTGACAGGAGGTTGGAGAAAACTGCATAATGAGGAGCTTCATAACTTGTACTCTTCTCCAAGTATAATTAGAATGATAAAGTCAAAGAAGATGAGGTGGGCAGGTCATGTAGCACGAATGGGAGAGACAAGGAATGCATATAGGATATTGGTGGGAAAGCCAGAAGGGAAGACCAAGGCGTAGGCAGGTGGACAATATTAGAATGGATCTTAGAGAGATAGGATGGGATGGTATGGATTGGATAGATCTGGCTCAGGATAGGGACCAGTGGAGGGCTCTTGTGAACAGCTGCAGAATTGGCTCTCCTCAAGAAGGGCTCAGCTCCATCAGTAAGTAAGTAAGTTCATTCTGGTCTGTCACACTAACAATTACAAAGACAAAAATAACTCTGTCCAGCAAGCCATGAACAAACACGGATGATACTAAGAATCTCCTTCACAAGATAGACACGCGGCACAAGTTCAGCCCTCTCCAAGAAAGACGATAGGAGAAGTGACACAGACCTGCATGGTTTATAAAATTTTGACTTAAACAACACAGTTTTAATACCAGGAAGGCTGCTGTGATTGTGAAAAGTTGAATACTGTGTATATTGTGACGTGTTCCGCTATATATGATGCCCCTCCCCCCACCCCGCCAGCCGTGAAGTGCTGAGCGGAGCTGAAGTTAGCCGAGTCCCAGCATCCTGGTAGCTATGCTACGCGAGTCAACAGCAGTGACGTCACCAAGGGATACCGCGGTTGCTAGGCAGCAGTAAACAACTCCGGACAGCATTGCTAGCAACACGGCACCACACAACAATGGTTCCTATTACGTGGCTGTTTTCTGAGTTGTCCGGAACGAGGCTACATAAGGAGCAGTGAAGGCTATTCACAGCCAGTTCCGAGCAAGCCTACGAGTCAGAGTGTGTTATCAACAGTTCTCCATTTAGCCAGCGGAGAGTAACGAGTTAGCCAGCAACCAGTCAGTTGTATTCTGGCATTTGCAGTGTAGTATTTGTGATACTGCAGATAGCAGTAATTGTGGATCTGTAAATTGTGGGATTTTAAGAGCGAATGTGAAATAAAATTCGCTATATCAAATAAGGCATGAAGTTATTTGTCACGTTATACACCCAAGACACATGACAATATTATGTATTCCAGGCATTGTGTGTGTATGTAATTTAGCACTCAGAACACCTATTGTGATACTGGTTTCCAAATAAGTATTGATGTTCCCTCTGAAGATGATCCGTAAGGATCGAAACATGTAAGGGTGCTGAGTTTTCAAGTGGTAAAACTTAAATAGTCACTCTGTACGGAGTTGTTTTTGTCTTTGTCTTACAAACCTCATGATCTGAAACATTCTCATGTTTCCAACTGAACAAATATATGAAGACACTGGCTGATAGCAGCACTTCAGATGTCACGCATGTCTTGCATGCATCACAGCTGACACCACAAAGCACCTGTCTGGCAATGGAACCACTGACATAGGCTACTGAGAACACTTCCATGTCACCAGCATGTACTGCAGCAACCATGTCCTTCTGTACTTGTTGAGTAACATGGAAACTCAGTAACTTCATCAGGGGTTTCCTTGCCATGACTTGTGGACGGATTTGGTGAAGAAGCATCAGGTGCCCTGAACAATGACTGTAGGTTACACACAACAGTAGCACCATCATCCTCACAGCTAGTTCCACACAGACCTCTGATAGCAAGTGCACTGATGATGTTAGTCTTCAGGGCATCTACAAACTGTCCCACAGTTGGATTATTGTTCAAACCAGACTACAAACGAATAGCTTCAAATGTGTTCACAAGGTGATCACCAAACAGCTGTTGCCAGGTATTCACCACAGCACTCCACTGAAAGAACATTAAAAAGGAAATTAGTGGGATTCCTTACATGATGGACTTCTTCAGATTTGAAAATAACACACTTTACTTGAAAGGGACTGCAATTAAAAAGATTTTGTATATTTCATTAAATTATTCCTCATAGCAGTCGTCACCACCTTATTCTCTTATACATCATATTACTGATAGTGTGATCTGCTTTTCAAACATTTTTAATTACCCTAAAAACATTTGACATATCCTACATAACTTGTGTATTGATAAGTTTGTATTGTAGCATCCTGTTGCACTCTTCAATTTTATTATAAATCTTATTTTACAGTCTTATGTGAAACGATTTATTAACTTTAACACATTGCGGACCGGACGGGCCATATGGCCCTCTACGTTTCCAAGCGTTGCAGACCGGGCAGGCCATATGGCCCTCTACGGTCACGTTATGTTGCAAAACGCTATATATCGCTGTGTGGCTTCGTTGAATCGTAACTACTGCGTAGATGACCTCGGAAATGATTGCTGCATTATCTAGTAACTCGACCAGAGTCATTTCCTGTCAAAACCTAAACAAAATTGGCTTTGTTCTAATCCAAGCTTGCACGTACCAACCACGCAGCTATCAGTTCAACATGGCTCAGAGACGAAAGCAGTTGCAATCTCTCGGAGGACAGGAAATATTAAATATGTTCTCTGATGAGCTATCAGATTTGCCAACTGCTTCGTCTTCTGATAGCGAGACCATTATCAGTGACAGTGACAGTGACATTGACGGAGGCCACAGGGCTGCCCAAAATGTGTCAAGTGAAAGTGAGAGCTCCGTTGAAAGTGCGAGTGTCGGGACAGCAATACCTACTTTCAAGGAAGTACGTATTTGTGGTACAATTAGGGTGAACAGAGGCCTCCCTCCAGATCTGAAAGAGGAATGTAAACGCCTGAAACGTGGCGACACCGCATTCAGGAGGAAGGAGGACATTCTTCTTCAGTCCTGAAGGGATACTCGCGTTGTGAATATGGTTTCCACTATTCACAATTCGAGCATGATCGATGTTCAAAAACGACACGGGCAAGTAAAGAAGCCTCTTTGTATTTCTGAGTATAGTATGTTCATGAAAGGAGTTGATAGGGCCGACCAGTTCTTGGCCTATTATTCCCTACCTAGGAAAACAGTAAAATGGACGAAGAAAGTTGCACTGTGGCTTATAAAATGTGCAATTTTCAATTCATTTACAGTTTTCAAAAAGGTAAACAGAAATTCTACTTTGAAATACAAAGCATTTCTGTTGAAACTGGCAAAAACTTGGGCTACTGACGTCACGGTGGCAGCAGTACCTGCGTCAGACACAGACATAGTGCAGCCGGGGCCATCTGTTCGCACCTGGCGGAGGCCTCAAGTAGACCCCCCTGGCCGACTCGCGGGTGATATGCGAAAACATATTCTCGTGAAAATTGTGAAGAGTGAATATTGCAAGACGAAACACCCTTCTAGGCAGTGCTGTGTGTGCGCAGAGCAACAAGAAGAAGAGTAGAACTGCCTAAATGTGCAACTTCTGCGTAATGCCTCTTCACAAAGGGGAATGTTTCCAGATATATCACATGCGCAAGCACTTCTAGGAGTTCTGGTAAGTGTTCTAAAAAAATTTCAGTTCATAAAATTAATTAGAATTTATATTAATTTTTAAAGTGAACAGTGCACAAGTTAGAGTAGTAGGTTTAAAAACGCCGGTCCCCAGGGTGATTTAAATGTTTAAACCACCGGTCCACAATGTGTTAAATTTAAAATTTAAAACTTAAAAAGTTGCACATAAGACAGTAAAATAAGATTTATAATAAAATTGTATATTGATGTGCAGTTTCATAAGTAATGAATGATGACAATGACATTTGTTTGATCACAACTGGGTTCTTGGGACAATTACTTCAAAAATTAGCTCTCATTATTCTCGCTAGCCACTTCTCTCATAACAGAACATAATTCATAGTATAGAGTGCAGTGGTCCTTACCTGAAGCCAATACAGTGTTGTGGCTTGCTGCAATGTGTAGTGAAATCACTTTCCAGGAAATGTTTGCTGCACAAATATTTATTGTGCAGCATTCTAGCAGAATCAACAGTGATGGTTATTCCAACCTTTCCTGCCCATACCGCAGCCCTGTAAAAGTAGAACAAATAGTCTCAAAACCTAGAAATAATTCTTCAGTAAACGTTACAAACTTGGTACACATTCTAAAATTTTGGGCTATGTTGAATACATTTAAAACAGCCTCACACTAAACTTAATTTATTCATTGGATTAAACAACACATAGTAATTACACCATTACTTAAAACAGGCATACCGTGCTGGATCCTTTGGAAAGCTGAAGAATTTGATGCCTTGCTTGCTGGATGACAAGCACCCAGCAGCAGCACGTTTTCGTTTTCATGTCTATACTGCAAGAAGCAATACAAAAATTATAACACCATCACGGTACTCTTAGAACTCTTTAACATTCTACAGACAATCTTTGGGATGAACCGAAAGTTGCAGAAAATATCATGAAACAAATATCGTTTAGACGACAGTTCACCATAACCTCAAAAATGTTAGGCTTGAAAGAATTCTATATGTTTCTAATTCCATTTGTGGTAGTAAGCATAATATTCACATACACAAATAATATGTTTAACATGGCGCTGTAATTTCGTTTGCAATGTCTACTTTCGTTTCGCAGCCACAACAAATCAAAATTCATACTTACCAATTTGCATATAATGTACCACGATAACCGCATGTAATTGTGGGTATTCAGATTGGTTAGTTTAAGCTCTCTGATTGGTCAAGATCTGCTTCCACACACATAGAGGCAGTAGTTACCGTGCTTCCCTTTCCCCTATCCCAGTTGTCACCTCCTGATCAATATACACGTATCGAAATTAGTCGAATCGCATAAGTGTGAGCCAATCAGAGGAACTTGAATTTCCATTGCAGGCTGTGAGCCTTCGCTCAGTAAGTTCATGCAGTACCTGAAGTAGGCACAATCTGTCGTGGTGGTCATCTTAGTTAGTTAGTTATTGGAGAGGGTGGGTTTCCCCATGCACTTAGACCAGTATTGGTCCATTGTGCTTCCCTTTATGATATTTTACCAGTCTCTATACCCTACCGATATTGGTGCGTACCATCAGTCCCGACTGAGCCAGCGAGTTCGGCCTCTACTAGCTTGGCTGTATCTATAATGCTTCCCCCATCTATCAGAGGCGTTAGAGACTACTGTTGGGCGGGAAACGTCCTTGAATTTGCCTCAGTGACCTCCTTTGGAGATATGAGGTTCTTTTACGTGCCGTAAAGCTACGACACAGGACCCACGGCTTAAAGTCCATCCCGGAGGACTTGTTCCCTGAATTTTTCCGCCCTTAAAAATTCCACGACCTCCGCCGGGTTTGAACCCGCGTACCACGAGTCATGAGGTGGGAACGTTACCTCTAGACTATGGAGGCCGCTGGTGGTCATCTTACTAGTGCTGCACCTACGTGGACAAAGAGAGTACTAATGTTCGGCATCATGTGACTCAAGCTCAAGGCGCTAGCGCACCATGTTGGGACTACGGCTTTAAGGGTTAAACATATTTTAATCGGCTCAACTATTTTCATGGGTACCCCAAACTCTTATGAGAATACTGTACAATACTTCCCTTCCAACTGAACCATAGCCTTTCTTGTAGTCTATGGAACAGCTGATGTACTGTCTCATTGTACTCCCATTTTCCTCCAGTATCTGACACATGCAAAAAAATCTAATCAGTAGTTAAATCTGTTATGTCAAAACCAACAATGATGATCCCTAATAATTTCACCTAGATACAGACTTAACCTTGAGAGGTTATTGGATTGAATTTTCTATGACCTTGATAACAGTGATATCCCACAATACTTAATACAGTCACTTTTGCTGCCCTTCTTGTATATTGGTATAGCAATAGACTCCTTCCACCGAACAGGCAATCCTAATCCACGATGTGTATATATTGACCGTCTTCTAGCGCATACAATCTCACTTGTTACTTCACACTACATGTTTTGGCATCACTGTGCCATCCTCAAGTGTATTATTCACGTTACTCTATTGCACTATATATTACATATATTTTCATTCAGTCATAAGGTATGGGATAGTTTTCTGGGGTAAATCACCAGATGCTAAGAAGATTTTTCTCTTACATAAGAGAACTGTTAGGGTGATGATGGGATTGAAAAAAGAGATACATGCAGGCCGGTATTCAAAAAACTAAACATATTAACATTGGCCTCCCAATATATATTATCTTTGATGATTTTTATGATAAGTAATCTAGAGTATTTTATTTTTAACACTGCAATCCATGATAAAACTACAAGACACAGAGAGAATCTACATGTATTACAATCACATTTAGCAGTAACGCAAAAAGGAGTTTATTACATATATGTATTAAAATTTTCAACAGTTTGCCTCTCTATGTAAGAGATTTGGTACAAGACAGGAAACTTTTCCTAGGAAAACTAAAAGAAATATTAATCAATAATTCGTTTTATTCAGTTGATTAATTTTTGCTTTATTGTAAAGATTTATAGTCAGAAATATGTTTATTTATGTATATTTCATCATATTACTGTGCAATTTTTATATCTAAATATGTGACAATTGTAGTTTGTATTGTATGCATATGTATATATGAGTAGGAAGGAGAATTATTATGTATTGTTAATAATCTTGTTGGTATAGTTGTATATGTAACACTGTATCTATTTAATCGAGGTATCCAGTTTAGATTTTAACTATGGTCGAACTGATGTCTCTGCAATTCTGTCTGTGATTGTCTTGTGACTGTTGTTTGACAAGTTTTATATTCAGTGCCGGTCGCACACTTATGAATATTCTGAAACACTGATGTATGTATGTATGTACGCATACCATCGTCCACGGGAAAATACAAGATAGGAATGACTGACTTGATGATATAGATTATCACATGAATAGCTTTTAACCTATTTTATGGCAAAACAATGTTTTATAATAAGTTTATACTTCATTGTAATTTTTATACCATGTGTTCTATAATATGATAATTGTCAAGTATCCAGATTCTATACACAATTGCAGTTCAGCAGCGCATAAATATGATGATCATGTATTTGCCTGATGATGGCTATGAATAGCCGAAACATGTAGCAAAGCTAATTTAGCCTTGAACACTGTACTGTTGTGTTGTGACGGACTTAATAAAGAACTGTATACTCAACAGTCATTTCCCTTGAAGTGATCCTTCTCATCTCAACACTCATTGCTCATCATTTGTACTGTGATGTGGATGGCGCAACAGGAAGTAGGGGTCACATGAACTCTGCATTTCTGCGAGTGATGTCACATACCCAACTCCTTCCATCATTACCCAGCGCTCGATAAACACCCCTCCTCTTGCAGTGACATAACAGCACTTCCCACAGTGATGTAACAGGGGACACCATGGTTACTATGCAGCAATAAACAACTCTTGGCAGTGTTCATCAGCAATGCCTGTAAACACGACATGACGCAACAGTGGTAGCTATCACATAACTGTTTTCTGTGTTGACAGTGCAGAAGCTACATAACAAGCAGTATTCGTCAGACAGAAGCCAGTGTACAGTGTGCTCCGACAGTTGAAATGTAGCAACTGCCAAAGCCAGTTAGTATTCGGAGCATTCGGTGCAGTTGAAGTGTGTGTGACTAGGCGTGAGAGAGAGTGGATCGTGCAGTCGCTGAGAGAGTTGAAATCTAGAAGTCGCTGAGGCCAGTGGAAGTCCAGTAGCTACAAGTGAGTTGTATCGAGTGCATGGCAGGGACTCCAGCAGAAGTAATTGTGATACTGCAGATGGCAGTACTTGTGAAATTGTAAACTGTGTAAGTGTAAGAGCGAGTGTGCAATAAATTCACTACATCCAAGATGGCGTGAAGTTATTTGTCACGTCATACACCCAACATGTGACAGTACTGACCACCTACCTGGTTGCTACATAACCAGGAACTAAAAACCTGCAAATCCTTCATGACAAATGGCACAGAAGTCTGCATTCTCATAAATGACAGCTGCCCTTTCAATGTCAACGACAAGGAGAGATTTTAACAATAGAATGACTGTACTTCTACTTACTTGTACTGTCTGAATTTATTGCAACTGAGACAACTCCAAGTGCATGACACTCAAGCTTGTGTTTTGGCTCTAGACGATCATTCTTGAATGTCCAGACCTTCACTAAATCATCTACAGGCCTTATCACAATATAATCCACTGATTCTTCTGCACCAGCTGAATCTTGTCCATAAGCCAGGGTCAAAGAGTAACATGTGGTGTTCTATTATATTTCAGCATCCTGTTGCATTGGGGCACCATTTTAAATTGTAAAGTATTTCATCCGTAATGCAACAAAGTTTATGGAAGGCATGCCAGCAGAAAATTAATGAGCCTGAGGTGTGAAGTTGCAGCCGAGTCTCTGAGGGCTGACAGTTGCTAGCTATCTGTTTGTAACTGGAAGTTGTCAATTATTGTAACCTACCAGTCTGCTCATATCAGCCAGTTAGAATTTTGTGGAGGAAGTCTTTCCTTCAAAATTTTGGAAATGAGGACAGGCACTTTCCACTTCGAAGACTCGCCAAAACACTGCAAGTTTCACTGGCATATTAAGTGGTGCTCCAAACAAATCCTACATTTCTCACACACACACACAACCATTTACAACTACTGTATTTCTGAACATTATCCATCGTCCTGTTTTTTTTATTTAAAACACAACGTTTTTGGGCCTGGATTCTGTCTCTGTCGTCAGGTGAAAGCCTACTCTGCTGGCCCCCATCAATAGAGCTCATCTCTATCTCCAGACACCAGCACCAATATGAGACAGGATGTATAAATCAGGCACAGCACAAACCATCTGTGACAGTTAAGACAAACATTAAAAACATAAAAATAACTCCACACACATTAGGCCTAGCATCTTCATCCATGCACTATTTCACAGCTATTGTTTTTAAAATCAGAGTACTATCAGAAGTCATCGCTAAGGAGACAAATTCTCTGCATGGTACCAACTTAAAGAAACACAACTTTCACATATAACCTACACTGGATGGAGTAGCAGTTTTCTGACTTCTGCTGCAATGATGGGAGAGATGTCCAAGCTGGACTGACTAATCGGATGGCCTATCAGAGACATGTGGGCATATCTCTTGCTATTTCCTATAGGTAGTGTTTGGTTCAGTCAACAAGACCTTTGCTTCCTTCCAAAATATTTTGTGGCCTTCTTGGTATTGATTTTTCAAGGAGACCTTGGTTCAGGTGCTCCTTAATGCATATTTCTAAAAGCCTCCTTGTTTCACTGACATAAAATCTGACAGTCACATGGAATATTGTACACACACTGGTTCATCTGCAGGGCACCTCTAACTTGTCCAGTTTTCATCACTGTCTCACGGATTGTATGTTTAGTTTTGAAAATAGTTCTGACACTGAAATGGTATCTGACTTTAACAGAGATACCCTTAACATATTGGATAATGACTATGCCCTGGTATATTCTATCTGAAGAAGGATGGTTTCTTCCCAATGGCTTCATTATGGGGTCAACAAATTCTTGAGGGTATTCATTAAATATACGTCATGTCTTTAAGTTCTTAATATCCTTGTTGAAACCCTTCTGATTCTGATATATGGCTCGAGTGATCAAACTATAAATGACTCCCCTTTTCATGTGAAGTGGGTGGTTGGACTTGAAGTACAGATAATGACCCATAGGAGTAGGTTTCCAGAACACTTTCATGGCCAAATTAGGACTCCTCTTCATGACCAAGACATCCAAGAACAGAAGAGTATCATTAGCTTCAACTTCCATTGTGAATTTCATGATATGTCTAAGGTTGCTGAAGAAGTGATGATGAAAGTGCTGCATTATTGCTGGTCCATGTAGCCACTGTACCAATGTGGCGTTGCCGCATCTGAGCCATTTACTGGGTCTGGGGTCTGCTGTATCCAGTGCTATTTCCTCAGCATTTCATAAATATATTACTGACCACTGGAGATTGTGAATTTTCCACTGCCATGCTTTCATTTTGCTAATATAATCTATCTTCAAACTGTAAGTATGCAGTCACTGAACAGATGTCCAATAATTCTTGGGTCTTCAACGTACAAAAGTAAACATTCTGGAGAAAAAAGGATCCATACTGAGTCTATTTCTTATGACCTGTAAGACTTCTTCCACTGGTACAATGGTAAATAGACAGACAACATCAAAACTTACAAGGTAGTCTTCGTTTTGAAGGTTAACCGCCTGTATTAATTTTATGAAGTGTTCCGAGTACTTCAAGGAAGAGTCTGTACTGCCAACCAGAGGGCTCAGGATCTTATGGGGAAAATCTGCTACAGAATAACTCGGAGAGCCAACAGGGCTAACTACAGGTCTAAGTGGAATGTCAGGTTCGTGTACCTTTGGAGGTCCATCAAGGAGAAGTGGTTTACTACGGTAAGGTCTCAGTTTACAATTCAAGGTAGCAGGACGGACAGTTTTGTGCTTGGTAAGAACCTACCATATCTTCTTTTCAATTTGAGACATTGCAAAATGATGTAGAATTTCATAAACCCCTGATTCTAGTAGACTGGACATCTTTTCCTTGTATGTGGACTCATTCAACACTACTGTGCAGTTTCCTATGTCAGCCTGTATAATTTTTATTTCCTTGTTATCTTTAAGAGATTTCATCATCATAGATTCCTTCCTAGTTATGTTTGACGTCAATGGTTTTGATTTTTCCTACACACATCAAATCCTACAATAGAACTCATACCCAAGGCAGGGAGAAGTTGGACTTTGCACATTCAGCCATACATACCATGTCAAAATTGGACATTATTTGTTACTGCAAAATTAAGCTCTTTCTTAAGTTCTGATTCTTCCGACTCTGTGAGAATGTGCTGTGATAAATTAATGATGAATTTCTCAGACCCACGAATAGCTTATGGGGTTGCAGTGGTCTGGTGAAAATCTTTCACAGCTAAGAATTTTTAATCTGAATTTCTTTCTGCTTAGGTAAATTATTTTAAATTATAAAGTAGTCCATCTCTAATGCAACAAAGTCAATCCTTTCTTAAAAGACACTAAAATATATTTGATTCACTAAAATGTGCTTGCTAATATTTTAAAATGTCATTAACTATGTACATTCAATGTCGCTGCTACATGGTTAAGCCACACATGGGCCATCATCAGGTAACACTTATTATATGTGGAGACCATTGCACTGTACATTGTCCTTAGTACCCTTTGGCACCTTGGTGTTATTGTTATTGATTGATTGATTGATTTCGTCACTATAGATCATTGTACATGATATATGACAAGTCAAGTTAATTCTGAATATTAACAATTTGATATATAAGTAGATTAAAATTACAATAGTTACAATTTTTTTTTTACTGCTGATTACAATTTAGAATTAATTAGATATTCTTATTTGTGGAGAATTTGATGGAATGAACATTGGCAGGGGAAACCGAAGTACTCGGAGGAAACCTGCCCCAGCGCCATTTTGTCCATCACAAATCCCACTTGCTCAGATCACAGTGGTGGGAAGCCAGCGACTAATCGCTTAAGCTATGGCGTGGCCTTAGAATAATGATATTGATAGCTAATGTAATGTTCTCAGCAGATTGGTGCCCTTCTTGATGGCCTGGTATTCTCGATCTCTCTCTAAGCGGCCTACGTAGACGTCCCTCCATCTCATGATGTCCTTTCTATCACATCCAACATGGTGTCTTGATTCCTTTAAGCAGAAGAGAACTGCGCAGTATACATTCATAGCATGCTGGTATAAGCTCAACAAGTCACTTATTCTTGAATTATCTGGTAATATTGATGTTAACTAGGATTTATCCCCAAACAAGAAGAATTCATCTATACTATAAAAACAATGTTCAAGTAGAAATGTTTTCAAAGTCTTTTTAAATTTGTATAGTGCTGGTATGTCCTTTATATATTGCGGCAAGTGGTTTAAAAGACGAAGTCCAATATTATTGAAGTTGTTTTTACACAGACTCGTCCTACATGGAACTATGAATAAGTTGTCTTTTTTTCTTGTATTGTGTGAGTGTACTGCTGAATTAGTGATGAAAACATTCAAGTTGGATTTCATGTAAACTAATATTTCATATATATACAGACTTGGTAGAGGTAATATATGTAACAATTTAAAATATTGTTTGCAGCTGGTTGTTTTTTGTATTTGCATTATAGTTCTAATAGCTCTCTTTTGTATCTTAAAGATCAATTTTGCATTCGCTGAATTGCCCCAGAATATCAATCCATATGATAGCAGGGATTGAAAATACGCATAGTATAAAGCAAGAACAGTCTCTAATCCTGATACTTTTTTGACTATTCGCAAGCCAAAACATATTTTACATAACTTACTTGCTAGTGTTTGAGTATGTGTGGACCAGCTTAATTTTTTGTCTAACGACATTCCCAAAAATTTGGTATGTTCTGTATAATTGATGACTTTATCATATAGTTTTATTGGTGGGCATTCTGGCTGTATTTTTTGTGGTTGGTGAAAGGATATTGCTATCGTTTTTTCTTTATTAATAATTAATCTGTTACTTTCAAACCATTCTGTGAGTTTATTTATTAATGCGTTTATTTTCCTTTGGACAACATTAACACTATTTCCTGATATAAAAATACTTATATCATCGGCAAAAAACGTTAGTTTTCCTTGTTCAATACCTGCTTCTAGATCATTAATATATAGCAAAAATAAAATTGGTCCAAGAACAGAACCTTGTGGGACTCCATGTCTTACGGGTCTACTCTGAGATAGATAGTTAATGCTTACATTCGCTTCTCTACATCTATATGTGATTTCCACTTTCTGTTCTCTTCTTTCTAGATATGTTTGAAACCATTTTAGTGCAACCCCTCGTATTCCCATTCTTGTCATCTTTCTTAGCAATATGTCATGATTAACTAGGTCAAACGCTTTTGACAGATCCAGAAATAACCCTATACTTACTTCTTTCTCATCTAGCGATTTATAGACCCCTTCTATGAACTCTGCAATTGCTGTTTTTGTTGTTTTTCCTTTGCAAAACCCATGCTGTTTGTTACTAATTAAACTGTGGTTATTTAAAAAGGATAAAAGTCTTTTATGCATAATTTTTTCAATTATTTTTGAAAAAACAGAAATTAGTGATACTGGTCTATAATTCGCAACATCCGTTTCGCTTCCTTTCTTATACAAGGGTTTCACTTTTGCCATTTTTAGCTGGTCAGGGAAGTATCCGGTTGAGAGTGACTGATTTATTGTATATGTTAAGGCAGATATTATCTTGGGATAACATTTTTTGATGATATACTCTGGGATGTCATCTATACCTGTTGATTTTTTGTTACCAAGTCTTTTGATTATGCCAACCACTTCCTCTTCAGTAGTTGGGATTAAGAACATACTGTTGTTGTTATACTTTACTGCATTGTCATTAGCTTCTTTGTTTGTATATAATGATTTGTCGTTTAAGATTTTGTGTGCAATGCTAGTATAATATTCATTGAAAACATTTGCTATAATTTTTGGATCCTGTGTATTTCCTCCTTCAGTGTTTATTTCAATATTTTTATTTTTTTTCCGACTGCCTAGCTCCTCCTTTATTAGGTCCCACATAGCCTTTGGTTTATTTCCGGAAGTTCTTATTTGTATGTTATTAGATAATTTTTTTGCTTCACTGATCACTTTGTTATAAATTTTCTTGTACTGACCATAGTATTTTTTAAATTCTTCTGATATATTCCCTTCTTTCATTAGCCTATTAAGAAATCGAAGTCTATTTCCTGATACCCTTATACCTGAGGTAATCCATTTGTTTTCATGCTGTTTACTTTTTACCCATTTTTTTGGTATTGCTATTTCATAATAATACTGAAAAGTATCTAGAAATTCATTATATGCATTGTTCGCTGATTTTTGTTTAAAAACAAGCTCCCAAGTCTCTTTGTCTAGTAGATAATTTAGATATTGAACATTTTCTTCACTATAAGTTCTGACCATTCTATATTCTCTCTCTGCTCTGGCTTGCCTTTTTTGATTCTTATTCTCTTGCTGCATCTGTACTTGTAATATCTGCGCGCTATGGTCAGAAAATCCTGTTTCAATAACCTCAAATTTATATTCCCATAAACCCTTGTTTAATATTATTTGATCTATGGCCGTTTGACTTCTGGAACTGATTCTCGTTGGAACATCCACTATTGCTTCCAAGCCGTATGAATTTATCATTGTCTGTAGTTGTAAGTTTACCCTGTTTCCTAAGAAATCTATATTGAAGTCACCTACCATAATAATTTTCTTATCTTTATTTAGTAACTCATTTATTATTATATCCATAGTTTCAATAAATATATTGATGTTACTGTTAGGAGTTCTGTATACACACATAATAACTGTATTGTATTGAGTGAGTTCAATTATACTAGTCTCAAAATGTTCTTCTCGTGTATAGTGTTCAAACAATTTACAAGGTTTTGCTTCTAGATTTTCTTTGACATAGATGCATGAGCCTCCATGTCGTTTATTTTTCCTGCAAAATTTTGAAACCAGGGAGTAGTTTACAAAATTATAATAATCTATTTCCTTTTCATCTAACCAATGTTCAGTGATGCATAGTATATCTAACTCTAGTGTTTTATCAGTTAGTAACACATCGATATTTAGTTTTTTTGTTTTTTAGACTTTGCACGTTTTGATGAAATATTTGAATATTAGTATTGTATTTATTATTTTTGTTATTCCTAAGTATACCAGCGCTTCGTAGGAAGTACAAGGAAAAAACAGCACTAAACGCACAGAACTAAAGAGAACGTGATATGCACGATTTGCCTACAAATTCATCCTAAATTGGGAATCTGGACTGGGACAAATCACAACTACATACCTTGAGCCTTGACCGTCGTCATTTTCATCGCCTTTCTTTTCCATTCTTCCCCAAGCACAGCTCCATATGCTATCGTCACGGGTATTTTCTTTTTTATTAAGTAACGAATGCTGAAAAAAGTATTGTAATTAGTGACATAACCTACAAAACCAGGACAGTAAATCGCTTTTCAACTGTATCACTATTCCTTTCCCATACACAAATTTACAAATTATGCACCTTATGGACAGCACAACTACAAATCAAATTATTATTTACTAAACTGTGAATTACAATTACTGAATTACTGTAATGTTACAATCCCAATTTTCGGAAATAAAAATATTCACCAAACTCCCAAACAATACCAACCACTACATGCGCCTTCGGCTCCATCAGGTCGCTCCATTTACAGGCATTGAAGAGAAGAAGGTCAATGTTCATCACGTGGTACTGCAATTTTTCCAATAGATGGCAATAACTCTCGTTCCATAATAAAAAACACATGGCTCTTATACTATTAACAACTGTGGTCTAGTAAATAAAATCTTTTAATTTCTTTTATTTTCTGTGCAATCTGTGCATCTTATTCCAAGCAGTTTTAACATTTTTAACAGGGAGTTCTGTGGCACGGCTAGGCAGTCAAAGGGCCAAAGTTCCCCATTTTTTAGTTCAATTTCGTCATTGAATTATATAACTGGTTTTCTACTGGGATTTCACATGATCGTATTGTGATAAACTGCTCCAAACAGAAGTGTATGAGCAGTTTGCGAGGTTAATCTTGACAACTCATAATCGATTCATTAGAAATCATCACATCTACAGATAGAGCTGTAAATTGAAAACAAAACATATCTCAGGTTTACAGCTTTTAATGCCACTGCTTCTCAGTCACTAAATTCCATGATGATGCTTCAAATTACAACCTACCACCATACACATAGCCGGCACAGGAAGGGTATCCATTGCTTGACAACAGGCGGTAAACAACCAAAAACATTGCTAGGCAACACGATAAACAAGCTTCCACCCTAATAAACACGCGAACTTTTGTTGGGTAATCGCTCCCTCAACAATGGATTGAGGACATAATGTTTTCTCTGCTGTCCGTGACAATGGTAATAAGTGAGAACTAACTGGACTGTGAGGAATTTCCACTGTTAGCAGATGTAACCTACCTGTGGCGAGTGACAGCTATAACAGATTGAGAAGATTTACTGAGTAAGTATTTATATGTATATTTTATAATTTAGCAAAAGCGTTATTGGCACGACATAACAATAGGAAACAGATGTTTTGAAAATGTGGCACAGTTCACATATTTGGGAACGACGATAACAAATCGAAATCAGACTGATGAGAAAATTAAGAGGACCATTCGGTCCAGAACCTTTTGTCTTCTCGTCTGCTGTCCAAAAATATAAAAATTAAAATACACTGTGGGGTTTTGCCTTTG